CTCCGGATTGTTTTTTCTCTCCCTCCTCCCCCGTTTAGCACAGTGAACCGTTTGTTTCTCTTCTGTGTCTGCTGCCAGTGTTTGTGCCAATCCCTTGGTCAAAATAAGCTTTTCTGAAATGTGCCATATTGTGGATTCTAAGGCTCCGGTACAGTAAAGGACAGCGATAATGCAAGAGGAGTGGGGGAGGAGACTGAGAAGGCTGGGTACTTGGGGTGACCACCTCAGGGGCGGGTTTACCTACTCCCGGGGAGGATGAGAAGCTGTCTCGCTCTCCCACAAAGGGAGATAGAGACCCAGGGCGTTCTCTTAACCCTCTTCGTTCTGATGATAAAATTATACCGGAGGCTGCCAGTAAAGAAATGGAAGAAGGAATTGAGGCCTAGACGTTTTTCCAGCACCTGAACAAGATGCGGTGGATGGAAGGGAGGGCTGGCAGCTCCTGGGACCACTTGGTCACAAACCCTTCTAGAAGTCACAAGCCTCTCTCCTCACCCAAGCAGCCTTAACCTGCTGCTGCCAAGGAGGAGTACACCCCCTCCCTAACTCCCACTCTCAAGGGGGTTTAACTGCCAGTTTCTCCTTCCCAACCCTAAAACCCGCCATAATGCTCCCTTTCTAGGGACAGGGGCGAGAAAGGATAAATTCGATTCAAACGAGCAACGTCTTGCCCCGACCAAGACATTTGAGAGTCAACATCGACTCCCCGTCCAAAGGGATAAAGATGAGAAGGCCCCTTCCCCCCTGGAAACACACGTCCAAAACCCCGCAAGCCCCATGAACTCCCAAAGAGACGACAGGCACTGACCTGTGCTGTTCACACACCAGAGACCCGAACCCCGTTGTTTGTTCGACCACCAAGGGGTCTCTCCACACCTCCACGATCAGACGATCACCCGACAGCAGCCACTGCGGACACAGGACCCGGCTCCACACACCCCCTCCCCAAACAGCAGCGCGCAGCCTCTTCAGCAACAGAGAAATAGGGGAGGGGGCACTCAGACAGTCAACGGGAGCGCAGAGGCGACGGCGAGGCTGCTCAGAGTGTCTATACCCCTTCTGTTGCCGCTCCCGAGCTCAGGTACGGTCTCCGACTCGGCCCCCTGCGCCCGCTCAGTGTCACTGCCTCTTGCTCTGGGAAAATGGCGGCGACGGCGGCGGCGGCCGCGGCGGCGACGGCGGCGGCGGCGGCGGCGGCGGCGGCCAGTGCACGGGGCCCGCCCGCCCCGCTCCGCAGGGGCAGAGGGGGAGGGGACGAAGCTGCCCGCCGCCATTTTGCTTGTGGGCTGCCGCCCTCAGCCGTTGCCTCTCCCGAAGTCTCAAGATAGGCAACTGGAGGCCGAAAGGTGGACAGAATCTGTCTTTTTCACAAAAGATACATTCAACAATTCACCGAAGGTTTGGGGGAAATTTAGGTATTTGATGGGATTGGTTCTTTACCCTTTTTTTCCTAAGCCCTATCGGGAGCTTAGGCACGCAAATACAGGGTGGAAGAATGACAAGTAGGCCCTAGGAAGGACCGCCCCCTCCCATCACCCTCCTAAATCAATGCACTCTCCCACTCCTCAAACCACCTCAATCGCGGTCCTCACCTCCTCGTCCCCCTCCCTCTTCCCCTCTCCCCTCCTCCTCCCCGGTCTGGCCTCAAGCGCAGCTTGAACTCGATAAGGGTGTAAATCGACACCCACTAGGGGCTGAGGTGGCTCCAGTGCGCAGGCTCCGGGCACAGGATAAAAGCGGAGCTGGCGAGTTCAGCGCCGTCTTGATGGAGGAGCGAGAAACGGAGGAGGTCGGGGGGGAGAAGCAGCAAGAAATATACAGCCACCATCAGCGCCGCCTCCCTGCCACCGTGTATCGGGGTAAAAGCTGTCGTTGCAGTTGCCGTCGCTGCCTCCTACTTCTTTGGCCCCGGGGAAGGATTTCTCCGCCAGCGGGACAATGCGGGGACGGGAGAGGGAATTCCTTTAAGTGACTGTGATTCAATGGGGGAGGGGCAGACGGTTATCTCGAAAAAAAGGGCAAGACCAAAGAATAAAACATGGGTTTCCCCCACTAAAATGGCACGGTGATTCCCGCTCTTGTTCTCGAGGTCTTTCCCTGAAATGGCGGTTTCCGTCTTGTCCTTGCCTCACTGCGACCCGGAGCGCTTGGTAGGCGGAGTGGGGAGAGGCAGAGGTGGTTCACGCAGCCAATTAGTGTCTGATGGGTTCCGTTGAGCGCGTTGTGATTGGCTAGCGATGACCTCATGCTGCAGCAGCGGGTGGGGCCAGAGCCGTTGGGGGAAGCTGTTGGAAAGGCAGAGAGGGAGAAGTGACGGTGGTGTTCGTTGCTGCTGCGGCGATGTGGAACCCAAGCAGTGACGAAGGGAATCTCAAGGCTCTTCCCTGACATTTTCTCCTGTCCCTGCGCGAGGTGAGGGCCCCGGCTCGGCCTCTGCGGAACTTTGGGGCGCTGGCGCGGAGGAGGAGACACAATTTCTTCCGTGACTTTTGTAACTGCGTCAGGGCAAGATGGCGCTGGGTCTCCTTGGGGCGCGGGGGGAGAGGCACGTCCACCGCCGCCGCAGCGCATGTGACTGGGCTGCATTCCTGTGGGGTTTGGCTCAGACCCAGGCTGGGGCGGGGGAGGGGAAAGGGCTTGGGCGGAGGAGACTGGTGCGGTCGGCTTTGGCGGCCTGAAGAGGAAGCGATGACTGTTTGAGAGTGCGTCCCCTCCCCCATACAGCTTAGCTGCAGCGACACCAGGGGGAAAGCCCCCGGAGGGACACTCCTCACAGGGTGTGACGGCTGTTGGTGGAGTAGGGTTTGACGCCCTGTTTGTTATCTACCTATCTCCTTGCAAAGTATACTTACGTAATGTGGAAATGTGAATCGACTGAGTCCTTGAGGGCCGCTAGGCAGTGAAAAGGAGAGACTAGCGTCTGGGCCACAACACTGGGATTAGCTGTTATTTTCTGAGAAAACATGAAGTCTTTCAGATCTGAATAAGGAATGGCCCCTAAACTTGGAAGCAGGTTTCAGGAACACCCAGGAACACTTAATTTTCTAAAAGTTACAAGAAACCAAGGAATATACCATCGGAATTTTGAGGGCCCTTTTCAGACTTTCTGTACCTTCCTATCTGTACTTTCTTCGCATAGCTTATCTATATATTCCATGAGAATGTACTATCTTGTCAATGGATTTACTTTTCTGTTTAAATTTAGGCATGATTAGTAGTAATACACAATAAAAACTGCCAGTGTATTCTCAAGTTTTAAGGCTGTTTTCAATACTTTTATGTTGTCTGTCGCCCTCCTATAGTTTCTTTTTAAATGAAGTTATCAGTAGGTAAATATTAAGACTCCTGCACCATTATGAAACATTGAAACTTAAATTTAAATCACTTCTTTCGAAGTGTGAGCTTTAGTTGTAGTTTTTGAAACCTTGCTAGGTGAAGATCTCCAGCAGTTAAAAAGTTCTTAAGGTCTGAGTTGGCAGGTGCAGTAAGAAAGACTCATTTTGATTATTCCCACTTGGCCAAACTTAGTATAGTAGCCATGAAACAAATCAGCGAAGATTTAAAATTCTTCAAATGGTGTCCGTGAAAATTGGGAGTTACTCAGGACATTTGTGTCTGAAGCCTGACTTGTTTTTTGACAGAACCACTTCTATTTGGTGCCAGGAGGAAAAACTGTTTGCTGGACCTGAACAGATACGTCTAACTTGGGGGTCAAGGTTGTGCTAGTAGTTCCTTTAGTGTTAGTTGTAGACTTGGTAGTTTGAAAACGAGATTGATGTGTATGCCTAAGTCTTTACTCGTTTTTGTGGCTTTTTTTTTTTTTCAGAGAAGCAACTGTAAACTAACTGAAAAACCAGTGATTAATTGTAAATATTTAGTAATACAAAGATTTTGAAGTTCAAAGCTTTTTTATTTTTATTTTTTTTCATTCCGAATATAAAATAGGCTTTTTGCCTGTAAGGACTTGTGAATAGCTTCAGTGGTCTATTCACTGTGTGTAAATTGTTTGCCTTACCATCATAGCAACTTTTATCTTGGCTTAGAAAAAGGGAGTAAATATAATGTCCGAAGGTTTTAAGGTAATTTTTAGACTGTTCCTGGTTTTTGTGTGCTTTTGTCAAGCTAATGGAAACAGATCCTTGGTTGATACTTTTTTTTTATTGGTACTTTTAATAAGCATATATCCTCACTGTTTGTGGTCACCAAATCCATGAGCATCTTGAGCTCTAATTTTTCTTTACATTCCTGAAATTTTAAATACTATTTGCAATTATGTCCTTTCTTTGACTACCTTCTTGTATTTTATGTTTTTTGGGCAATTTCATTGGTGTCTATTCCCTAATAATTACTACATTTCCATCTCTGAGCAGCAGATGGAATGTTCAGGTTTATAGGGGCCACAGCTTTCCTAAACTCCCATAAAAAATATTAAGCTTAGTACTTGATTCCTAAGAACTTTCTGCACCTATTCTCTCAAAAAAAAATTTCACTTCTCATATTTCATTTTCTGAGTAAATCATGCCCCAACTTTCCTTTCCCTATTTCTGTTCAAATCTAACCCTGATGGGCTAAACCGAATACCATCTTGAAATAGTGTGCTAATTTAAACTGTCTTCGTTCACAATTACCTGAAGTGTTTCTTTCTACTTAGTTAATACAGCTTGAGCCTTTGCCTCTGAAACTCTTCTAAATCACTTTTTCCAAGTAAAATAAGCCAGTCTTTACATTTGTGACCCAACCCAATTGTTGACACTGTTGACATTCAGGTGTATGTGCTGCTTTAGAGATTGATAACACTTTACTAATGGACTGTACAGTCCACGCTGTGAAATAGTTTCAGTTAAAAAAAAAGTGACCATCGGAGTTTAGAGAAGAAACGAAAGGTTAGGGAGGCTCAGGGGCAAGATCTCCTCTTAGAAGGTGGGTAGGGAAATGGGACCCAGCTGATGAGACAGAGAGAATGCTGCCCCAAAAAAGATGTAAAGAAAAAAACTAGCCTTATTGTTTCTTTCTCTTGGCTAGATCAAGTGTCGTATCTGTTCATACCAGTTTCATATCTGAACTTTTTCTATCCAAGGATAATAAAAGTATTTTTGGAGCAGGGAGATGGAATAGGGACTTGGCTCTGTTCACTCTGCTCATCGACAGGGTATTATAGTACTTCCGAGAATGGAGCACTAAGAAAAAAACTGGCCTTAATTTTAGTCAGCAATCCAGAGAACATTTTAACCTACAGAATTCCAACAGTATGTAAAACCAGTGATTTTGGGGGAGTATATAATTCCTCGGAGTGTTTAGGTTTTATCCAGGTATGGAACACTGCTTGCTCTGACACTGGAGGACAAATTGTTGTGCCCTTGAGTTTAATTATTTTTGTCACTGTTGTGATTTATAAGTGCCAAGTTCAAAGTAAAAATATTCTGAATCATCTGTGACTTTAACTGGATCTTGTTTTTATATGAAATTTTACTCTGCTCAACCCCCTCCCCTGACTTTAGTGTCCTCTAAGTGTAGAATGAAAAGATTTATATCTGAGAACTGTTTGAACTTAAATCATTAAATATATCTTAAAATGTTAGGGTTAAACAACATACAAAACCTGGTAAGTTTAACTTCCTGAAAAATAAGTGAAAAATGCTACATCTTCCTCAGCAGTGGGTTACTCAACAATAGGTTAACACTAAACCTGAAATCCATATTTACAAATAGTATTCAAAAAAACTTTCAAGGGTTGTGGGTACTTTGAATCAACTTCAGTTAATTTTTCTTAAGAAGAGAGAATATGTTAATTCCTAGGTATTCAAAAAACATCTTCAAAGTTACCTGCCCTCTGCTCTCCAAAAAGATTAGGCCCGTAGTCTCCCTGTTGACTGTTTGTGTTTAGTTCAAGTTTAAAACATCTTTAAGTATCGAATTTCGTCTGGAAACTGGAGATTCTCTTTTTCCATCTAAATGAAGCAAGCAAGCTAGCAAAAAAATAAAAAGCTTAAAGAGCCCACCATTCTCTGGAGTGATTTAACAGATTTAGTAAAAAGGGTCTTTTACTATATAGTGGAAATTTTAGTGTCAAATCTAAAAATTTGAGCCAGTGTATAAGAGCTGTAAAATGTACTTCATTTGCTTGGAGAAGTGAGTGGTAGTTTACGCAGAACAAAATTTCTGAGGGTAACTAGTTTATCAGCTCCAATTCCTATTTCAAGCTCATTGTTTTTTGATTTGTAAAGAAAAGTATTTTATGGCCTTTTTCTTCAATGAATATGTTTGCCATAAGCATTGAAGTATGCAGCATATATCTTCCATTTATATATTTTTAAAAATTGGGTTTGGGTTTTTTTTGTTTGCTCCTTTTTTTTCTAAGCACACAATAAAACAGTGGCAGTCAGCCTTGTCTTTGAGGTATATAATATACCTTCAGTGAACAAACATTTATGTGGTACTGGTCCAAAATAATTGGTTATCAGCCTAGCTAGTAAACAGTGTTTCATATAACTCAAAAGTTCCCCTCCCAGAGTATATTGATATTTGCGTCTCAAATTTAAAACTATATTTTTTTCCTTCAGTTGCTAATTGAAACTCCAGCTCTAATTTCAGTCAGATAATTTGCATCCCTACCATATTTAAAACACACAAAACATAATTCCTAGTCTTGACATTTTCACTTAGGTTTTGACAAGATAAACTCAATAATTAGAACCTTTGAAGAATTTATATGTATTAAATATTTACTTGCTAACTTCTCTCAGCCTTTATTTTGCCTCTTAAACCTAGCTCAGTTTTAATGCCACTTCCATTTCTTGCTGTCAGTTAACATCAAAGAAAGGAAAGATAGCTAGGTAATAAATGAGGGTTATAACAGTTGGAATTAAGGACTGAGGAAAAACAAGTTTGGGGGATTTTTTTGTTGTTCTTGTGTGTGTTTTAACTAGCCAAATATGGCACATCAGGTTATTCATACTAGTGTACTGAGAGTGGAGGGGAATTATTGGAAAGTTTTGATTTAAGGATAGACAGGAAATTGTTAACTGCTAGTGACTCTTCTCATCCCCCCAAAACGGTGATCTCTGCCCAGAAACATGTCTGATACTATTACATATACTGTATCACAGTTAAATCATAATTTAACCCAAGGTTGCAGAGCAGTGATTTCAACACTTTTCTCTCTGACTTCACCAAAGTGCATATTCCTTGACCTACCTGCAGTGTCTGAATGAAGACTTAGTTTAGAATGGAGACCCAGGACAGTAAAGTATGTCATAACTTGTTTTAAATCTTACCTGCATTCAACTGAGGTAAAGGACTAGCTCTTAGAGCCCTTAATGTAGTTAGTGTAAGAAGAGCCTGAATGAGAGAGTAGAAATAATAGATATTTAAAAAGGTACATATAAAGACATTGCTCTAAGGAAAGAGGAAAATTTTCCCTCAGGTTTAGAATCCTAAAATAAAACAAAACTTGGCTCAAAAAATTTTACTTCATGCTTGTTGCCTGGAGAGAAGAAAGAACTGACTTTCAAGAAAAATAATTCTTCGAAGTTTGCTAATTTTCAAAGATGAAAGTCAAAGCTGAGTAGATTTAATCTTAACACACAAATCTAGCAAGAAAGCTGGCATGTCCACATTGTTAGACCTAGGAAAAGGAACTGATTCTTTTTTGATGGGGGGTTTTTTGTAAGAGCTAAATTATATGATGGTACATATTTAACTGTCTGGTTAGCCATAGTAAGAACAGTAATATTACTTTATTCATAATTATCCTAAAAATACCTTTCACTAGACTGTTCTATAGTGCACAAAAATGATAGGTAGCATGCTTAAGGCCGTTTTAAAATTAAAAATGTGATTCTGCGAGGAGTGGAAATTTTTTTGAGCCAAGTTTTGTTTTGTTTTAGGATTCTATATCTGAGGAAGTTCTTCCTCTTCCCTTAGAAAGTAAAATAGTTTAAATCAATTACAAAAATTGTGAAAACCATGCATTTGTTTACCTTCTCACACCAGTGACTTGATTCTTAAGGGACAAAGTAACATGAATGCTTTGTAAGCACACGAGGTGGTTTAACTCTAAATTTGGGGAAATTGCTACTTTTTTGTTAAATGTTTAAATTATTATAGCAAGGTCAAAATTTGGCATCTAAACTTCTTTATCACATACTTTCCATACATTTTGCTCAATTCCTGGTTCCTAAAGTTTCTGATAAACTTCAATGCCATTAGGGAAAGAGAGAATGTATTCCTCCAGTTTTGTCTAATCCCTAGTGTTTAAATTTTTAATGGAGGAAGGCTATGAAAAGGTGACAGCTCGTTCTTGAGGAAACTTGGATAAGCAAGAAATGCCAAATTCTCATTCTGTACAATAATGGAAACCTGAAAAGGCAGTAGAAATACTCACTTTCTCAGGTTCATATGATAACAATAGTATGGTAGTGTAGACATCTCTGTCTTAAACACAACGTGTCTAATGACATCTGTGCAAGACATTCTGTGGTTACTTCCTGTCTTTATTCCTATGCTCTCACTTTATGGCCAGTTAAAGGGCAAATGGGAGTTAAAAGGATAAGAGCATGTGTCGAATGATTGAAAAATACTTGGGAAAATTAAATGGCTGAGAGAAGAGAGATTCTAACAATAACATCTGAAGTCAAGGGTTCACTTGTGCCACCTTTGGATTTTTTTAGGTGTCTAAAAGTTAACTAACGTCCCTCCCATTATTTTTGCCCCCTCAGCCTGCTGTGTAAATTTTGGTATTCCTGGGGAGTAAGAAAAGATTATATGCAATGACTGTATTTTGCTGATTATAATGAGCACTTTTTTGCCCAAATTTTTGAGGGAAAATAAATATGCACATTAGGCATGGGTATAATGATTACATAACATAGGTATAATCCTCTGTATGATGCACACAAAAACGTGGCTATGCATATACATGGGAGCACCCTTATACACAGCAAAATACAGTATTTGCCTTCATAACATTTTGTGAAAGTTCTGTATTTTTATGTTCTAGATGTGGGTGGTCTTATATAACCTATAGCATTTAATTAGACTATACCTTTTTAAAACTCCTTGGTTTATGTGCTAATATCCTTTGCTAGTTGCTACTTCTTCCTGTTTTCATTACAGTAGTACCTTGGTACTCGTATGTAATTTGTTCCAGAGCTCTTGACAAGTGCCAAAAACCGAAACTGATGAGTACTGAACAATGGAGCATTTTCTCTTGTGGGGCATTTTTCCTCTTTCGGGGCAGCTTTGTGACTCATACAAGTTTTTTCAAGTGCACCGAGTGCTGAAACATTTTTTTCTTGTCAAAATGCAACGAGTACTGGGTTTGATGAGTTTTGAAGCTGACGGGTACCGAGGTATGACTGTAGTTGCATTTTTCTGTTTCTTAATTTTGGTAGTTCTCAGTATTTTGTCCCCAGCCACCTTTTCACCAATTGTGTTAATCAGTTCCCACATCTGTACCTATTGATGACTCCAGAATTTATAGTCTCTGAACTTGGTAGAACTACTAAATATAGATAACTTAAAACTAAACAAATTCAAAACAACTTCTTTTCTCTCTCAACTTTTCTCCTTGTGCAGTCATACCTCGGTACTAGTCGGCTTCAGAACTCTCCAAACCCTGTACTTGTTGCATTTTGATGAGAAAAAAATGTTTCAGCACTCAGCGCTTGCTCGGAACTCGACGTACTTGCTAAAACTTGTATGAGTCACAACGCTGCCCCACAAGAGAAAATGCTTCACTACTCACCGCTTGCTTGCCACCTGGCGCCCCTCTCTCTGGATGAAACAGAGGTCGACATGTCAGTCTTACAGTAGCTCATGAACAGTGCAGAGGCCCCACATATTGTTACTGTCTTGTACTTTTGTGCACTTTAATTGCTATTCATGGGTTGCAAAAAGGTTAAGGGTGATACCACTAAGCCTAAAAGGCAGTTAATAAGGACCACAATCGAAAAGAAAAAAGAGATCATAGCTAAGTATGAGAGTGGTGTAGGTGTGACTGATATCGCTCTAATGTTCAAGATGCCAAGAACGACGATCTCAACGATAGTGAGAAATAAGGAAGCGATTAAAGCAGCCAGTGTTGCTAAAGGTGTAAAGTCTGTGAGTAAGCAACGTTCACAGACATTGGAAGAAGTTGAAAAATTGCTTTACATATGGATTAATGAAAAACAATTGGCAGGTG